CCCCAAAACCCCAAAACCCCAAAACCCCTCATTCTTGAATTGCGTAGATTAGAAGTTTTATATTAAAGTCAAAATTAAATCAAACTTCATAATTATAATTTAGCTATAGAGTGAAAGGTGATCATTCAATGAATACATTGATCATTATAATTAATATATTAGGTCATCTCTAGAAGTAAATTAGCTCTAAAATCTGAGCATCGATTATATTCATCTGAAAAGATTCACATTCTTATTTTAATAAGCAGTGATTGTGGCAGTTTTAATATCTTTCTTCTCCATTTTAAAATGATTTAAAGCCATGTTTATTGTGACTACCCATTAATTGCATTCATCTTCCTCTTCACAAGCAAATAGTAGCCTTCTTTAGCCGCTATACCACTCTATCTCTCTATGCGTCCAAGTCTATTAACTAGCCAAGCCCTTAATCCAAGCAGAAGGATTCTTGACCATTATACTATAAGTAAACTATGGTTCTTAAAGGTTTTATTCTACAATTTCCTCAAGCTTACTCTTATCAGCTTGCTCAAGAGAATTTCTCAAGTCCTCTAAATTAGCAGCTGAGGATATGATCGAAGATCTTTATCTAAAATGCTGAAATCCTGCAGTTGCACCTCCGTGATTTTAAAGGAATGAGATATTTGAAGTACTCCTGGAATGAGGTTTACCTTCGATGTTGGATGGCTTACCAACTTAATTGAAATGTGTACTTATCGATAACTATGAGCCTTCTAAGACAGATCTCCTAGTTAGATCTAAATTATTTCTAGGAGATATGATTTGTGAGGATTGATTTAGGTGTGAATCTCTTTGTGGATTATTCATACAGAGCTAGGATTAAGGTCTCATTTAGTTTAATTCCATATGAACTAATTCATCCTAATACTCATCTTTAAGAAAAACTTCAAATTAATAGCATTTGTTCCATTATTAGTTAGTTTTACTTTGACGAGTGTTCTTGGCAATATCAACTTTGACTTTTTGGCAAGACTTAATTATACTTAGAGGGATCTTAACAATAGTGTTTATATTACTCTCTTAATGAGGTAGTTTAGCTTGCCATCTGGACTTAAATATTTATATCATTTCCTTTTAGAGTACTAGATATTTAATCCGATATTAGTAGTTCATTCCTGGCTTGTACTTTAGTATTGATCCTTCCATTAGTATGCTATTGGGCATTGGCTGCTTTATGCATATCTGCAGTTGATCAAGAGGTGAGGGTTTTAAAATTGATTGCACCTTCTAATGATGATTGCTATTGTTATTTTGATTTGAAATGTTCCTTTTACTATAGACTTCAGATCTTGAAGTTTTGGAGTTATTGAATTAAATTTGAGAAATTTGAATAGAGTTTTAAGAGTTAAACATTGAAGTATTTTCATTTTTCATTTATTGATTAGAAGATCCTAAGGTTCTATCAGTCAGACTACCACTCTTTGGCTGAATTTTGATTGACACATTTGATTAAGTACTTGCGGTAGTTTAGGCATTAACATGAGACTAAGTCTTCATGCTATTAACTGAATAATCATTTGGCTCAACTGAACTGAATAGCTTATTGTTTTTAAACAAGCACAGCTTGATACTTGATATGGAAGTAGGACTTAAGTTTTCTTTATTCTTAGAATTAGAATTCATTTTCTACACACTTCTCTTATAGCTCTACTCTAATCTACTTTGCCTTGACCTTTTCTCAGCAACTTCTTTTTATCTTGATAAGATTAAGCTTTTATCCACATTAAACTCCCTTATTTAATTATCTTATTACTGCTCGATATTTATATATTTCGAATCATTTAGATTTGATTGATTATGTTCATTCTAAAGATCTAGATACTATTTATCGTCTGAAGTGTCTTTGAATACCACTTTGAAATTGGAGAAATCATCTGGATATAATGGGATGAGCGGCTTTCTATCATGCTGCATTTTATTATACTTGCGATAGTCCTCCTAAGAATTAAATTAACTAAGGACTAACTTACAGTACTATCTTGCTCAGAAAACAAGTTATTGGTGGATAGGAGGGGATTATCAAACAGTTTTTGACTTCCCAAATTTTACCTTGAGAGATTATGCTCTTTTATTTGTACCTTTAAGTTTACTCTTAATTCTATTAATGAGCAAAGAATTATATCAAATATATTACATTCAGTAAGAGATTCATCTTAGATATTATTGCATGAAATACAGCAAAAGTTAGACTACTTTTTAGTTTGAATGATAGATACTTCCTCTTTTGACTATTGCTGCTGCGACTGCAAATTTAATTAATTACCCATTTTGAATTATGAAATTTACCAGTTAATTATCAAATATATCAAGTAACAGCTCAAATATCTCCTCCTGGGGTTTTGGGGTTTTGGGGTTTTGGGGAGATCGGAAGAGCACACGTCTGAAC